GCTTGTTGTCGGAGTGAGAACAGGGTATGCATGTAAGTAGACCTTTTTGGTTTGTAAAATTGTCCTGGAATTTCATGACGGTTGTGTAAAACGTTAGTGGATGATGCACACGTGTTAATGGAAATAAGGAAAGTAAACAAAATCCCCAAAATGGACTTGACTTGACTACCGCGTCAGTCGGTTGCCCGGTGATGCTGCTGGGTAGACAGAGGATTGATGGAAAGTAAGGGATTCGGTGTGATTGGCGTGGAAGATCTAACTGCAGGTGAGTGTGCCTGTGCAGTTGCCACAGGGGAAATCGGAGACAGAGCTGGAACGGATGATGAACACCGTTATTCGGTTACCATTCTGATCTAGGGTAAAGTGCCTCGGAGTTCTTTGCAGACCTCTGAAAAGGCCAACATAGGGGGGCTAGAGTGGGCGCGGCACTACGTCAGTGCGAATAAAGACGTGAGTGTAGGTATAGTCCGCCTCGCGTTTGCACATCTCTGACCTGTACACAGAGTCAGGCGTAATTAACACATGCGTCGAGGAAGGAAGGATGTAAAGTTAGACGGGACCATACACAATGATGGGAAAAGTGAAACGAATTCACTGTGGCTCAAGTGATAGAGCCGTAAACTAGTTCCAGTTATCCGCAGTGCAAATCAGCTTTGATGCAGCCGCCAACAGTAAAGAATAAAAGCATAGTCATCAATAAGAGTACATAAGCCATTTGAACTGATGTTTCGCTGGCGTACAACCACAAAGAACAACGGAACGAGAAATAACAAGAGAAAATTGAGCCTATCGAAAAATCCTAATGCTTTAAACAAACACTCAGGGTCAAGACACTTACACCTTGTCAACAACATACCGTAACAAACCGGCTATTGTGCAAAGATAAGGCGACATCCGGGAGACAGCTTCGTTGTGGCTTTCACTGCCCCGCGTCATAATCAGCCATTAGCCCACAGATAACCCAGCACCAAACAAACCTAAAGTAGACAGCAAACGCGTCATTGGTAACCACTGCGAGTCATCTCATGTAAAATCTCAATGCGAATAACGTGGGAGGCGAGACGGACCGACGGCACCCAGTTTGGTCGTCAGTGGCTTCCCGACCATCTTGAGTCTTGCGCCACCAGACATCTGGTAAACGAAACAAGGTCCTCTACGGTAAGCGGTGACCGGGCATACGTAGTACGCGCGTAAGACAACACAACTTATTCGGTGTTTATCTAAGGAGTTGGATCCATCATTCCTGTCCATAAGTCGCTTAAGAGCATAATCCTTGCGGACCCGCTGGTGTCATCCGATATCAACAATGCTCCGCAAACGACGATGATCGAAGACTTGTAGGCGTGTCAGATTATCAGATAGAAGAGTCCAAGTTACACTCCCTCACTATGGCCTTGTACGTACGGCCATTTAGAGCGAGGAAAACCCCTGTTCCAAGCCAGATACCGCAGATAAAAGAAGACAGTCCTGACTTTTGCAATATGTGAACTGATTTCAGTCGTTTTGCGCCCATCGTTGCTGATGCAGTGGCCAAGGTAAGTAAATCGATCAACTAGTTTGAGTTCCTCGCCATCAAGGATCAAAGGTCGTCAAATGGCTGGTGGTCCTGTATCAACAAGTTAAAGGCCGAAGCGCATGGGAGCACTACAGAGAGGCTATAATAAAGTTCATTGGACCGTTCCAACATCGTTAAAAGCAAGACAAGATCGTCCGCATAATCAAGATCAATTAGCCCTGCCCTAAGCAGCCCATAAACGACGCATCGTAAGAATCTGTAGTGAATACTCCATGATGGAGTCAGGACGTAGTTGAACAAAAATGAGGGAATTAGGCAACCGTGCCGAAACGTTTTCGTCCCGGTTAGCGTCTGAAAAGGTTCTCATCGCATTGCGTGAGCATGATAGTTTCTGGTTGCCCAGATTTATGCATGAGAACGACTGGAGTTCACAACAAAAGTCTTTGGTTTAAAATCCTGAACGCAAAGCAATAAGATACGGGGAGTCCGATATAAATAATAAGGAACAACTCTCACACCTGACTCCAACTTAGAGGACCAAGACAAATTTGTCTGACCCATAAACCTTGATCGATCTGAAATAACTGGCTCTGGAAGTGCAAAAGCATCACATGGAACAGCCCAAAAAATTACACATGGACAGGAAAACCATTGCATCATGTTAACATCATCTCAAAAAGATGGAGAGCCAATACGAAACTTGTCAAAACCTCTGGAGCGCTAGGTCGAACAATTTGAAAAACAGCTAGTTACCAGCTTCCACATCAGCCAGTGATAGATTATCTCCTTGCGCCATCACAATGGATATGCTCTTACGAGCAGAAGTCGAACATGAGAGCAGACTGTTGAAATTGAATAAGATCGTAGTAGCGGACAGATTCCCTTTAGTCATCCTCAAATGAATGATTTGCACTATACATTAGTGAGGTGGTGTGTTAGTAGGACTCATGAAAGCCAGTTTTGCGAAGAGCAAATCGACGACTGAGATAGCTTCGCAATTGCTAATCAAGACAGGTGTTTGGTACGCCTTCCGGTAAAGTTTATGGGAAAACGACAGCGTAGCAAAGCATGACAAGAGTCCACGCAGGTACTCCAGAGTGAGCGACAGTCCAGTATGGAACCATGCCAGGAGTAACTTATGGCAATATGATCTATCTGGGTCCATCGCTGGTCAGCTATAAGGAGACGCCAAGTGGCACTTCGACGTCCACGTTGTCCAAAAGCGGTGCTACTAAGAAACAGACAGTACACCGTAAAATGCTGTAACAGACGCTCGCTGTTGTTCGCCCGATCGCAGTCAAGTCCATACTTACCACCTAACAGAGCTCCTGAAGAGTGCAGACGAACAAATTGCGCATTCGTATCCCTTGCAAGAACTATGGTATTTGAATTAGTATGAACGCATGGTTGTGTGTTTGGCTCGTGGTAGAAGGCGTCCTTGACTGCATCAGAACTGTTGCCGAAGCCACCGACAAACAGCGTCTTGTACTGCTTCGTGTATCAACCTAGGTTGATTTTGTCAAACGGGTTGCTCACAAGAATTCAATTAACCGACGATGATTAAGACTTGGAGCTGAGAACGATGCCAAGTTCAGCATGTTTAGTGGTAGCAGAATCAGTATCTCTAGATGCGTTCAATGAAAAACGTGAAGACAACCTGGCGCAGTTAATTCTATAACCCAGTTAGTGTCACTGATCCTAGTTTCTAACACGTAACACACGTCAAGGTGAGTGGAAGTGCGGCCTGTTGAGCTATCTGTCTTAGAGTGCAAACATTAAACGCCACCGGGGAAACGGGACATCATGGCCTTAGAAGGGACTGTTGCCGATAGGCGTCTAGTGGGTTGTGCGGGAAAGTATCTGCAGGTGGTTCGACTCCATTGGCAGTGTTGTCGCTGTCAATGAAGCTGAGAATTATAGAAGAAAAGTTACTAATGGGGCTTGGGAGGGGAGTAAGAGAGACAAGTGAAAAATAAAGAAGCGAGGCACCAGTAATAGCGTATCATCGCCTTATGTAGTAGATAGGGCGACCCTTGATACGCTGCGCGACGGATGATCCAGGATGTGGTTGAATTTTGATGTAATAATCACGGTTGTACGTGAGCTGACATATTGCCAAGGCGCCCAGACCTAGACAAGCAGATGATTAGAGTTCACAACAAAAGCCTATCGACAAAGAAGCGGAGATGTGGCAGTGATTTGGTTTTACAGAAATGGACGCCACCCCATCGCAAACGTAGAATCTGGACGACTAGGAGACTGAGTTTGTCTGACCTCTAATCACTGAGCAATCTGTCAGGAGTGGCTCGGAAAGAGAGCGTAGGGCCCAAGCCAGTATAGCTGAATGGGTCGACGAGGTACGCAAACTATCGCACCACGTTAAGGTCCAGTCTCGTAGCGACAGTGAATTAGTGACTGATGATCCATCAACCGCGCAAATAACTTCATTAACGCCAGGTGTTCCGTGGCCAGTGGTCCGAATAATCTGGATAAAGACTGCAAAAATTTCCAGAGGGAGTAGCTTTCATTATATCTGAATCGCCCACCAAGCCATTACGCAAGCCCTTTCGAGTTGTGAGAATTCAAATGGTGTCCTACGGTCGATTGTGATGGTGACTGAGCGTATGCAGTGGACACCCAAAAATCTAAGAAGGCACGAATAGCGTTCTCAGCTGAGCAGCCTGGTATGGGAATATCTTCGAGCCATCTAGTGAAGCCGTTGAAGTATGTCAGGATACATACGAATCCACGTGAAGGAGACAAAGGAACTGCCAAGACTAAGTCTACAAACGAGAGCCGAGTCTGAGGCGGAGAATGAATCAAGAGGACTATGGGGGTGCCGATGTACTTTGGAGCACAGGCACTGGAAACAAGCGTCAGCTCAGGTACGAGCATCAGTGTTTGCGTTCGGCAAAACGAAACGTTATGTGACGAGTTTTAAAGGTGCACAGATACCAGAATGAGTGCGCCGAAGACAACTCGATGATAGACAAACATTGACGAGTGAGGTTGGCGTGTGAGAGCATCAGTGAAGAGGTTGTCGACACGTGAGACAAGTGGTATGTCAGTAGTGAAATGCGTGACGAAGTCCAGGTTTTTAGTTTCCCGTAGTGAGTGTTGGTCAAAGAAAGCTGAAAGGGAAGGAGAGAATCATGTAGTCAGTGTATGCCGTATAAAAGCGAAGCTATCTTGTGTGTGCCGGAAGTAACGAGTGGCGAGATAGATGGCGAGTAGTTCTCGATAAAACGTGCTGTACCAGGATTCCTCTAGATGTAGGTTTTGAGAACAATGAACAATGAATTTATACGGTTCAAGAAGCGTTGCTTTACAAGTCCCGTTGGATAGTTGGTGGGGATATCAACATAACAATAACGATAATAAGGATAGTAAAATAGTTTTTTCGAGACCTTCATATACTAGGTAAATGATACAATTTTGGGGGGAAGGACTTTATACATTGGCAAGTAGAATGGTTGTAGATAAGTTAGGAGGTCTCGCATTCCGATGGGAGTTCGGACTGTTTGGTTTTGGTGTGTTCGCTTGCATTCTGCTTTTCGAGATCAGACGACAATTTAGAGTGCGGCATCGCGCTTATCGGTACCGCAACCGGGGCAGAATCGCTTGGTGGCGCTTTGTTTTCAGAGTTGGCGTAAAACTCCCGATTTAGTTTACCTGTGGGTAGAACGCTGCACCGTTTCGGTTCGGCTGCACACAAGAGCGAATCCTTTGCCATAGTGATTTCCTTAATTTGATCGTTGCTCCGTTGCACTGATTTGAGTGGTTGTGGCGCTTCCGTCGTTGAGTTCAGTTGTTTTTGATAGCAACTCACTTGCTCGGTCAGCCGGCTGGTTAAGTCGGCCTGTTGCCACAATTCTGTCTGCATTTTGCGCACCAACAGATTGGATTTTATCACTTGATCGCGTAATCCATCGATGAGGTTGGTTTTATCGGCCAACCGGTGCTTCAGCACAGATATACGTTGTTCCAATGTCTTGATGAGGCCCTCTTGTTTATTTCCCTCGAAATCAAAAGCCTTGGATGTCTTCACGGCGCGACGTTCGCGTCCAGTTGTAGTTCCTCCAGTTGTTGGAGCTGAAGCGTCAAAGCACGGTTCTCGGCTTGCAATCGTTCGCGTTCAGCCACCAGATTATCCGTGAATTTGGTGTCACGTTCGCGGTAACGAACCTCGAGGTTCTGTACTTCGCTCAGCAACCTGCGCTTTGACTCAGCTTGTACTCTTTCTAACTCCAATTTCAGCTCTTCTATCATCTGACGCTGTTGCAGTACGAGTCGCTCAGCACGAATGCGACGATCTTCCACCTCACTGAACGCGGAATTGCCACGAGTTACTGCGGCGCAGTTGGATTGCAATTCCACAGCTTCTAGTTGAGCCCGTGCGTCGGAAAGCTCAATCCGTGCCTCCTTGAGATGGCGCTCCAGGTCGGCTAGATCACCTTGAAGCCCCGAGCGATCTTCCTCCGCCTCGACAAGTTGACGTTCTAATCTGCCCACATCGAACTGATGTTGTGCCCGTACATGTGCCAGCTCTTCATTTAAACGAGACACCTCTTCAACGAGTGCAGCGCGATCCAGATCATCTTGTTCGGATTTGTGCGAAGATATTTCCAAGTTCCTCGTATCTAGTCTGAATTCCGCTGTTGCCAGCTTGTCTTCAACGTGAACAAGATTCTGTTGTGAAGAACACAGCTCCATCTGTAACTGAATAACTTTCCGTTCAGCGCTTTGAGCACGGTCTTCCAGTTGGACTAATATACTTCGATCTGGGTCCGTGTGAACTTTCACGGACTGCTCAGCTTTTGTTTCAATAGCATGTTTCAACTGTTCAATCTCATCCAGATATTCTGCTTCCATCTGCCGGACGATTTCTAGTTGCCTCCGAAACTCATAGTTTTCCTGGGTAAGCGCACTTTTCGAGGAAACATCATCTACGATTTGTGAAGCCATAATCTCAAAGTTGCGCAAAGAAAATTAGCGGGAATGGTCAAAGTATTGTGCGTTGTACCCGAGATTCCGGACTTTTCCGTCTCCAATGAGTGAAGCAGTATCACAATAGACTTGTGGGGCATGCACTACTATACACGGCAAGGGGTTGCCATTGCCCGACAACGGGTTGTTGGAAGACATATTTTACCGCGACGTCTGAGATATCAGTCGTGGTAGAGAGAGGAGCAGTCGGCTCGGAATGAACATGGATAGCCACGTTGGAGAAAGCACACTTGGGCTTGGTAAATCTGTGTGCTACTTCCGAACTAGCGGATTTACGTTCATTTCCAGTGAGGTTAATCCCCGGCTGCATGAGTTGAGCGCAGCGGAGTGTTACGGAGAGCTAGATTACAGTCAGCGTTCATGCCTAGAGCCGCGGAGCAAGATTGGATCCATCAAAATTTAGAGATCGAACGCAAGAAGAGGGCAATCGCGAATCTATGTGGGCTCAGCAGCAAATTTAACCGAGTTGTGTTATTTGAAATAAATTAGCATCTCCGGTATTGTAGTAGATGCCTTCAAACTAGTTATTCCGCTATGATCTCATGCAAAGGAACCCTCGATCCGGCTCGTTTTGGTGTTCTCATTTCGTGCGGGGTTAAAATGGTTGGGGGAGGCACAAGAGATTCTGGCAGGTTATCCGTACAGTCGGTGGAAACTACAACAAATTTTTGACGATGGAGGTAAACCTAATCAAGATGGCCTTCTTATCAGAAGATCTGAAACCTATTTTGCTACACGAGCAGCAATAGTTCGAGGCCGCACAGGTGCGAATGATGGAGACGCTCACACGAACAATGTCGCTCTAGTTTACAGCCATCTCTTCCGAGCAAATGCAGTGGCTCCTTCAACTCCAGTAATCAAGGTTTATAGAAGCACGGCGGCAATTGACAGAATTGCTGGCACAGAAACTGACCATTCGAGCAGAATAAAAACTAGAACCAGCGTTGACATCAGAGGATATTGCAGATGAATGTTACAGGCTACTCCTTTTGGAAGTAGACACCAAAAGTGGTGAACATTCAAATACCAGAAGTGAACTCCAGATCCGCCACACAGATAAGGGACACCAGAATGTGAAACAAAACGTGCCGAGTCAGAAGCCCTCAGTGCGATTCTTGCCGCATTCCGCAGGTGTCGCTAGACGGAAACATCATCTGTGAACCCAGATGCAAGGGTCTGCAACTCTGTGCAACGACCTACCCAACCAATTGTACAAAATAATCTGCCTAGAATGGAGTGCAAGATGAAGGTACAAGCTTCACTGTCCCTTAAGCCAGACTCCACTGCAATGTTTCGCATAAGACGCCCTATACCTTACGTAGCAGCGTCAGTGGTTGACCAGGACCTTGATCGCTTAGAGAGAACAGGAGGTCTCCACCCGGTGAACCACTCACCCTTGGACCCAGGAGGGGCCTAATGAGCTTTGACCAGTGGCCACAAAAAGGAACGAACATGCACCCACGGTGATAGACTGATCGGGTACGGAGACCCAACATCAGAATGCAGCTGGACCCAAGACGGAGCTCGTACGTCAATTTGTGCGAGGGAGGTGCTACATAGAGACAGATTACAACCAACGTACAAACCGAGAACCGTGGTGCAAGATTGGATCGATCTACCATTGGAGATCGAACTCGAGTAAAGATCAAACGTGAATCTACGTGGGATCAGCGGGAAGTTGAACCCCGAGATTGGACCGTTTTGAGTTGTGTTAACTGATATGAATTAACATCTCTGATGTTGTAATGTTTAGTAACTGTCTTCAACCCATTTAATCCGCTATGCTCTCATACAATACGAACCTTCGATCATGGCTGGTCTTTGGTGTTCTCATTTCGTCGCGGATTGAGCAGACGGGGCGGCAAAGCAGATTTCTGGCGACAGTCAGCTGCGCGTTAGCAGCAGGTTATCCGTACACTCAGCGGAAACCATAACACGGAGGATGAAGCAACGATAGCAGTTGACCTCTCGGCAATCTAAGCTAATATCATGTGTAGTATCTATTCGTTGCAGTGTAATTGCTGCAAACGTCTCTGAACTGAGATCAAGGTAAACAGTTGAATATTCGCCTTCTTGGATGCATAGAACTATTTCTAAAATGGAAAAAGCGATGAAATTGCTTGAATGATGTCAGAACTGGTTGGTGAAGAGAAAGGCTGTTTCAAGGTAGTTATTCACGGTAGTGACTTCTATAGTCAAAAACGATGGAAGTTGGGGTCCAATCCGATAAAACATGAGCGCGCTACGCAACCCATCAAACGATTCGAAGTAAATGTCCTCGTACTAAAAGCATAACGAGAGTATTGTGGTTTATCTGCGAGCTAAAGAAATTCAAGACTCCTTGAGATTTTCAGTATTAAGTTTAGTCGATCTCAAGATTAAGACCGTTTATCTTAAATTTCCACAAACGAAATTTAGCCGCATACCTAAACAAAGGGTGTTGGTCTACTTCAACCGCAACGAGTTTGGACCTTAGCGTGGTGCGATGGTTTGTCTACCTCCGGGACACATTGAGCTGTACTAGGTGGGAATTTCCAAGTGTCTTTAGAGCCATTCAAAGACAGGTCAATGGTTAGAGGTCTGATGAACTCAGTCACATAATTCAATTCTCATCGGAGTTTAGGAAGTGGTCAATGGCCCTTTTTCTTGAAAACCTGGCCATAGGAGACAACAGATCTAAGGGTTATAAGCTCACCGTTCGATTGGTATAGAGCAAGAGCGCCACGCATTTTCTCTGACAGTGGGAGAGCACCTTCCGGTGCTCAATGGTTTGCTACCGCCCACCTCAAGCCAGGCAGCCCCTGATCAAATGGGTGCAAATCCACCAATTCCCAAATGCGGCTGGCCGTGGTCGCAGGTGCATAACGTAAAAGGTGAATTGTTCAGTCTTCAAAGACTGTGTGTGACAGACCTCGAGTGGATCACAATATCAGAATCATTGTATTAGGAGAATAAGATTAAAATCTGTGCCATCTCCAACAAAAAGGCAAAACAAAACAGACCAATGCATGACAGTGGTCTGCGTAAGTCGCAGTTCTGATCGTCTGATTTCAACCAGACGAGAGACAGCTTATAAAGCCATATTAGTGGTAGGCTTAATTGTCTCCGCCCTGTAAGACCACTAAAGCAGACGTAACATACCCATTCAGCGTGAGACGATCGAACATAGCATCTGCAACGAAACATAGATTGTCAAAGTGATTGGCAATGCGTTGCTTGAAAGATGGCACAGAATCTGCGACGACAACAACAAGACTGGGCAGCCAGTTCCAGAAGTGTATTACGTGACGAGCGAAGCAGCGAGAGTAAATAACATGAGCCATCCGCGGAATTTCAAGTTTATACACATGCGCACGGGTGATCGATGCATCCGAAACGCAGAACAATCACTCCAGATGAGGAAAGTATCTCAAGTGAAGGAGTCTGGAGGTTGGAATGAGATCAGTTCCTAACCTCCCGTACACTAAGGTGTGAAGCCGCAATTTTTGGCACCTTTGTTGGTAGGACAGGCCACGAAGTGTAGGAATCAAGCGGATGGCCAGGTGCTACACCTTCTCTAGTTTCCTCATCTCGCCCTTCGTTCTGGGATTGTAGGCCGGTGCACGGTACTCCAACAGCGGGCGCACCAATTCGACCTACAGTCTGATGGCAGTTTCCTCTGACCAAACATAGAATGTCCGTTTCAGAGATCAAAGCATGCGGAAGCTGGAACAATAAATTTTGTGCGTATTGTCCACAGATTTTAAATCCCACCTAGATAATACTCTGAGATCTTTTACCGTTGTAACTGGGTATAGCCGTCGACCACCGATACTGTACGTTCTGTCACGACAGCCTCTGCCCATGCTGATAGTTCGAACTTATCCGGGTTCAACGGTAGGTAGTTAGATAATTCCCATGAGATTTCGTCGAGATCAAGTTGTAGTAAATGCTGAGCGACGGGTCTCTGCAATCACACTCCCGAGCTGAAGTTGCTTTCCACTATCTTGTGGGTCAGGCTATTGAGCCAAAAGCTTCGGGTAGAGTCGCACAAGTGAACCTCCAAGTCTCCCACTGACTTGTAAGTCATGTTATTGAGCCAAAGGCTCCAAGTCATCATCATCATCATTATACACATCAGCTAGAGGTGGGATACACCTCAGCTAATGTGCCGTTCCAAGTAGAGTCCATCAAGCGACCCTCCAAATCTCCCACTGCTTTGTGGGTCAGACTGTTAAGTCAAAGGTTAGAGGTAGGCTACCTGGAACAAAAACCCTCTTTGGGAAAGGGCAATCGGAGAGCATCATCTGCCCTCTCGACCAAGTCGACAATACTATCCTTCTTCTGCTTATTTTTCACTTCCATCTCAACACTCTTCTTAGCCGTCAAGTGACCAAGAATCGGCCGCTGACTTCGATGCTTCTGCCATCGATACCTGTAACTCGTCCATCACACCAGGAGTATCATTAGATAAGGTTTCATTTAGCGTCCGCACTTTGGGTCAGTTCGGTCAACAGACAGTAGTGACTTTCACTCTTCGCTCTCTTGGTATTGACGTGTTCTGTCTCCGAAACATGCATAAAAGATAACAGCGTTGTGACTAATCTTCGACTCCCTGGTTCATAAGCTGACTATAATGATTACACTCTTCGCGTCTATGGTGATACCGAGCCATTAGCTCAATATATTCACGATGTTGGTATCGTCCTCAGTAGATATGCTGAAGCTAATCTACTCGACTGGATACCCGTGAACAGCCGCATGTGTGCGGTTCGACTTCGAACCTCTATCGGGTTTAATAAGACAAGGTGGCTTTTCGACGACTCCGTTTGTGCTCCTACTGACTGCAGTTCGGAGGGTAACAAAATTGATTTCTACTACCATCGCTCATCTCTGCTTCGAACGGAGAAGTATATGACATCATGATTGTTGCTGGCGACTTTAATGCCAAACCGGATGACCTCTCTGATTCTGAACAACATATGGGAGGCCGCTTCAGAGTCGATACACACCTAACAGACAGTGGTGTTCGATTCCAGTAACTGTGCGCCGACCACAATCGTTATATTAGCAGCAATGCTTTCCAACACAAAGGTTCACACCGCGTCACCTGACGCCCACCGGATTCCCCAATGACCTGGACCCAAATGGACCACATTGTCATCAGCTCCAAGTGGCACATATCAGTCGAATACTGTCGGTCAATTTGGAACACATGCCTGGATTCCGCTCGTGCTCTAGTGTGCGCACACTTGGCGCTCACTCTTCCCACTTCGCAGTCTGCGGTTCCATATCATGACGAATTGGCCCACCAATTGTCATTGAGAAATGAGGTTAGTAAGCCGAACGCTGACCGCGAACGTCTCAAATGTTCCACGAAGAACGCCCTTGACCCTTGCTGTGCATCCGCTCTGAGCCGTCGTAACCTTAAAAGGATCTATAAGCAACCATCAGCCTGATCGAAGCGTGTAAAAGGGTTCCGACGGGAACTGATTTTCGGCGTATCTGTAATTCCCTGAAATGATGTCTAACAGGGAGTCTTCGGATTGACCGAATACACTGATGGATCGCAAAGGCCCATGAGGTAGAGAAAACCAGCGTTATGGAAACAGCCGCGTGTTACCCCAGCACATCCGGAACACGGGTCCGAGAAAGCCATCAATCAGATGAACTGTTTAATTATTCTCAACGTCGTCCACTAGCCCGTAGGGCTGTATGTTTTGAGGAGTAGTTTAGCAAACCTACTGCGACACTGTCACTTGCCGAATCACCTGAGCCGACGTGAGAAGTAGTCGTCACACCCAGTTTACAAAAGAGTTGACATGAGCTAACCGTGGTTAAAACAAAACAAGGCTCCGGGAACCGACGACCTTCCTCTACCATTGCTGAAAGATGGAGGTGACTCTTTGTTGACTGAAGTTGGTCAACCTTTTAACATAAGTTGGTACGATATAGAAGCAAATGTTGGTAGCTCAGGTTGTTTAGTTGATTGGCTGATTGTTCGCTGAGCTCGGCAGGTTGACTGCAAACGTTTCGTCACCACTCGAGGTGACATCGTCAGTGCGAGTGTATTTAGCAGTTGGTACACTGAAGAAGTGCGTTTAGAATGGCGACTGCCATGTCAATGTGCAAGAAGTCAGCGCACTTTGTGCGAAAATGATCGATGCATTATCCCTATTACCATTACCTCAAAACTCCTCACGGATATCATTCTTCGACGACTTACTGGTCCTGGTGAGGACCGAATCACTGAAAGCCAGGCTGGCTATCGCCCTGGCCGTGGTTGCAACAACCACATATTTACTCTCCGACAACATTTAGAGCAGAGACACGTACAGATGACCAACTATGGTGGTTTACTTTGACTTGAAAGCCGCCTTCGAGCATTTGAAACAATCTGCTTGCAAACATAGTCGAAGTAAAGTCGGTGCCGGAGTCGAAGAAACTGTTGGACTAGCACTTTGCCGACTTGGGATTTCGAGAATAGCCACCATCATGATAGGTAGAGTTGTTTAAAAGATATTAGATGTAGCTACACAGAGGCAACTCTAACCGTTGCATATTCTCAGTATGCAGTATTCTTCTGACCGCGCCAGCTTGTGGCACTGCCTATCTATGAAGGGCGTGCCAGCTAAACAATAACAATTTGTCAGCCGTAGACCGTAACGGCGCTTCGCGGCCGTGCGACCACCACCAGTCGCACGCGGGATGAGTATACTGCGAGGACGCCCACCCCTACGCGGACTCGAACCTGCGCCGCAAGATTACGAGACTAGCTCGTTATCATTAGGCTACGTCATGCCAGCTAAACTTTTTCCATTCTGAAGTCCCTCTACCGTGATTCCTGTAACCGTGTAAGGACTACGGGAAACTATCCTGAGTTCCTCACGACAAGTGGGGTTCGCCAGGTTTTTCCCAAAACTCCTTTCCTCTTCAAGTTTGTGATCGAAATGATCATGAATGACTGGGTTCTTTCTGACTATTTTGGAGTGGAAATTCTGCCAGGCGACAGATTGACAAACCTTGAGTATGCGAACGGCATAGTTCTCGCTGGGTCTGATGCATTGGCTACGCAAACACTAGTGCACAGACATGTGCGTAGCGATGCACACCTCAGCATGTATTTCGCACCTTCAAAGCGTAGTGTTGTTGCAGGACTGGATCGACACACTAGCAGTGTTTGCTATTCCAGAACAGCCACTGGATGTGATGGATCGGTTCACTTACATTGGTAGCTGTGTCATCTCTGATGGGCACATCACTCAAAAAGTTTTTTTCGCATATCGCCAGCCCGTGGATTAAAGGTAAGAAGTCATGGGGTCGAAAGCCGGCAGAAGTCCGAGGAAGGCGCACCACTGACAAGACCTAGAGGGTCGAAACAGCGCTGTCTGGTGCTTTTCCATACGTGCCAGAGCCGGCTGACTGACAGTAAACTGTGACGAATTATCTCCGAATTATACCACAAATCCGCACTATTCATTAATAAGCTAAAATCCGTCCGTATAGCTTCCAAGTGCCGTATCGTACAAAGTCGACATGCAGAAAGTCCTAGCTCGTGAGGCTAACTGATGTCCTCTGCACAGTTCGTAACTGTGCATGACAGTGGAACGTGAGCCGGGCTGTATCGTAGTTAACTGTCAATCATGCAGGCCCGTGCCCGTCACCCATGGCTTAGTGCAACAAGCTGCTTGCAGCTGGAAGTCGTTGGGTCGGAACACGGCATGGGTCCGAGGAAGGCGCATCACTGATGAGAACCAGAATGTCGAAAAAGTGCTTCCTGGCGCTTTTCCAAACGTGCTAAAACCTGCTGACTGAGAGTGGACTGTGATAAATTAGCTCTAAATTAAGGTTAATAAGCCTGTCTAGTAATCTGACGGAGCGGGTTGGAGCCCGCGTAAGACCAGGGCGACCCTCGCAGTATGCTTCGCCCAAGTGTGACCAGTGGTGGTTGCGTGGCAGCAAAGCGTCGATGCTGCGCACTGGCATACGGCTGATGCCTATTTTGCTTTGCGTATCAGCAAGACCCGTGTGACTTTCCAGAGACTAGACAATCCATGCAGACGTAAGGGATATCAGCCTGTCAGTGAGAGGTAGGGTGTATAACGCTCCGATAAAGCCATTGTTACTGTATGGATAGGAGACATGGCCAGTTCTCGGAGATGTTAAAAACTTAGCCGTGTTTGACCACGGGTGCTTGTGAAGTATTGCTCACGTTTGCTGGGAACACAAAGTACGGAATGCTGAGGTCCGCCAGTAGGTTTATGGTGAGAAGCCTTCTGGTGCCTCTGTTGAGTTTGATAAATCTTAATCGCTTGATTTGGCTAGGCCACATCCTCCATATGCCCTTTGATCGGCTTAATCAGCGTGCATTATACGCCGTGGCCTCAACAACTTGGGCGAAACCGCGAAGTGGCCAGTCCATGACATAGCAAGCCTGAAAAAATTTACTGAGAGACTTGGTCGGGCTGGGGGCCTTGGGACGATCCACACCAGTGGTTGGAGAACGTGTCAGACATGGCGCAGTCACGAAGTCAGTGGCGTTCCTGCACTCGGCTTCTTTCATCTGGTTGATAATTTTCGTTCCCATCTGATTTGCCAACGCATCTCCTACGTGCTTTCAGTTTCGTTACGTGCTGTTTGCACCCAACCCCACTATCTAACCCGTGTTAGTTATTGCTATTCTTGCGATTTGAGTCGTGGCAACTGGAGCCACAGCACTTCGATGCTCGGATTGTAATGGAGTGGAGATTAGAAGGAACGAAACAATGTCAGAGAAAAGAAAGGTTTACTTTGACGCTCAGAGGTGACTGGCTGGACTAACTCCCCAGAAAATTCACAACCTTTGACTTAGTAGTCGAAAGATGATACTCCAAAATGTTGGCTGGACGAGCGCCAGACTTCCCAGGCACCCAGACAAAACGAACTCAGTGCGCCACTGAACAAAAGCCGAATGCGCGGTTGATAGGTCTAGAAAGTGTATCGAAAAGGCGATAGTTAAAACAAAGTGTACAATACCGATTGAAAACGGAGGTGAGATAAAGCATCAAAAATGAGAAAGCTATGAACACTACAGGATCATAGTTGAGCAACTGAATTGAACAAACTGAACTGATAGTCTACTGCAGCTGTATGGGCCATCCTTGCACCCTATTCAGGTTGCAGAATCCAAAGTCTGAGAAATTCGATGTGATCATTAAGCTGATGATTGTGACCCACCATGACCCAGTATGTTTGCGCATGTAGAACAGATATTGAGATGAAAACAGATACTTAGGCGTTTAATTGCTAATCGAAGATTTCGACAAACTAGTTACTCCATTTATGAAATCGGCCAAAGAGATACGTCCATCCAAATCGTGATCAAATTCCCTGAAGACAGTATGCATTAGGCCAATGCTGAGCTTCGGGGTCAATAAGTTCCGTTGAGTAAGTAAATCTTCGAAGCGTAAAAAACCACGCTTCTCTTTGTCAAGTGCATGAAATATTGCGGACACATCCTGATTTCCGTCCAAGCTGTTTAGATGAACATTGAACATACCCTGAAGCACATGCATTAGTCTATTGTTGCAGTGGAATGAAAGAGACACCTACGTCTCTACGGTGATGCCCAAGGTTCCATCAGGTTCCTTTACATCAAATTTGCCAACCACTTTGTCCATGAGTCCTTCGTCGGGGCATTCACCAAAAAGTTCTATCCAAAATATGACAAAGTCGGATTTGTCCAAATACTCCTTTCCCATGCAAGCATTTTCGAAAGCAGTTTTGACAATAAAATAATTTAGAGGTGCATGCATATATTGTAGTATCCTAACAAAATATGAGTCGAAGGCAGCTAGAGTGAGGATTGTGATATGAAGTAACCAGAGCGAAGATTCACTTCAGCGGGCTGAAAAGGAGATGGAAAGTGCACTATCAAGATGAGTCACAATTCAGCCTCAGTACAGTTGTCAAGAGTGCGCGAGATGAGGGGACAGTAGGCAGGAAATGGACAAGCGTATCATGAGCTATAGATATATGGTAGAGGGTGGTAGCAAAATGACAGTAATGGTCGGGTTTATACAGTCCACTTCATTCGTCAAATTGATTTAAGTTCAACGTAAGACCAGTAGAAGGGAAAGCACAAAGTGTGTGTTATAAATCTTGCTAAGTAGTAAAAAGACAGAAGTGACATTGTTTAAAAACATTGATTTGTACAAAACTGAAGTTACCAACAACTGTCCGAAAAACACGGTCCAGTTCACTCATGTTCATCACACCCTTGCTCGAAACCAACCGATTCTCCCGTGCCGTGTGGTTGGCTGAAAGTTCCAAGCTGACATACAAGCACGCTCGCTAAAGATTGATCGACTTACGCGTGTGATCACTCTAACACCTCCCCGGTTAAAATTAAAATGTTACACATAAGATCTTTCGATTGGAACCAGAATGAGTCGCTGAATCGGTGACGTGTGTATACGTGTGGAATGGCTTAGTGCAGATTCCACTTGTAACAGTCTGGAGATTCCTCGGTTTGCCTGTGTAAAATTCTAAAGTAATTTCAGTGTACACCTAGACGACCGATGCGGAGTGTTGAGCTGGTTGCTAAGTTCAATTGCTTGAGTTGAGCATCGACACTTTGCTTAGCGCTCGTTTCGGTTGCAATGCGCAACTGTCCTGTATGCTGTGCATTCTGCATTCCCCCAGGCTAGCAGTGTCGTTTATTTATAGGTAGGCAAACAGGGGACCTACTGCAACAATAAAGGTTTCCCTGCAACTCGGTCTGTCTTCTGGAGACGCTCTCTGGGCTCCCGCTAAAGGCAACTCGCTAAACACTTCTGTGCTCACACCAACGCGTTGCTTTGGTTGTGGTTCCATTGGCTTACGCAAAACAAATGTATGGAAAGGAATGTGTAAGGGAATCTCAGTGGTGTCATTTTGCTGAACTTGTTCCAGTGTATAACAAAGTTTGATGTGAATCGTATGACTATAGTCAAGCGGTTTTGATGTTCCACTTCATACAGGGCATTTCTTTTTCTTGATTTGACAAATCCGGGAATCCAAGCTTTATGTGAATCCCAAAAGGCGTACACAAAAACTGGATCACCAGGATGAAAAGATCATATGCGAGTACCGCGCTAACGATTGAACTGATTTGCCATTTTATAGTTACGCTCATCAGTCTCCTTTGCTGGAAACATGGCATCTAACGGTATGCGTAAACGACGACCAATGAAACGTTCCGACAGTGATTGTTGATTTCGGAAAACAGGATTTCGTGTTGAACGATACATGCATAAAAATACATCTAAGTTTGCAGCAATATCTCCCTCATCGTTAAAATTGAATAGAGCACGTTTGAATGTATTAACGAGCCTTTCGGTCTGTCAATTGAATTGGAGATGATAAATGGGACTGCGTATATGTTGTACATCTATGGCTTGACAGAATCGGTTGAACTCGTTCGATGTGAATTGTGGACCATTATCAGCGACGCGTGTTTCTGGGGACCCAAACTGTGTGAAATAACGACGACATACGACCAGTTATCTAGCTACAAAGGAACGAAACCGTGGATGCTCGAGCTAGGGGAACAGAGCATGCACAACACACAGGACAGTCGCGAGTTGCAACCGAAATGAGCGCCAAGCAAAAATAGTGATGAGCAAGTCAAGCATTCGAACTCAGCAATCAGTTCAACAAACCACACCGGTCGTCTAGGTGGAAAATGAAATCATTTTAGTCAGAATTTTACACAGGCAAACTGGGGAATCTCCAGACTGCTACACATGTCCGTCTGAATTATAAGGCGTTGGAGTCTCAGTAATGCGCTGAAGTCTTGAGTATGTTCCTTTTTTCGAGTTAGCACTCGTATTTTTCGCTTGTTCTGTGTTGGTAACGTACTTAGAAAAGGCTCTCGTATTATCACGGGAGGCACATATGCTTAAGCACATAGTCACATTGTCATAGATGTGAGAGGCTCCCTTAATATCACACGAGAGAAAAAATGGTCCTAAGTTTGGACCCTAAACAGAGCAGAGAAAATTACCCAGTTGACATTTTGTAGGAAGTGTGTAACCACCGATGGCCTCACATGTGACGACTCAGCGATACTTTTACATCTGAGTATTTGGTGATCACATCCAGGGAGACCAACAATTACATCAGTAGCTATCGAGGGCTTGCCTGATGACGGAGGTTATGAACTCAGCATGCTTCGCGTTTGTTACTAAGTTGGGCCAACAGATATCTGGTAGGCCGAAATCTCCTCCGACTTTATCAAAAGAACTAAGTTCCGAGATGTAAATCAAAATGTTAACCAATTGGTTCTCATCAGTGAGACTGACCCCGGATGAGCAGTATATACAGCCTACAAGCGTTCGCCTAGTACCGACGGACAAGAGTAACCAAGCAGAATCAAAAGTAGGGCATATAAGTGGAATTGTGAATTCTGGGACAAAAAGTAGTAAATTATGCAACTTTTGCCTTGCTTTCGATCACTTCTAATAAGCTTGCAACTTCCGACAGAAGGCAGCTGGCTGGGTATAGAATCATGACACCAGATTTCAGTAAGTAAAATCATATCAGGTTTATTCAGGCATATGAAAGTGCGGAGTAAATGAAGCTTATTCAACAGAGAATGGATGTTAAGTATCATCGGTCTTAAAAAATCCTGACGCTCTTCATCATTCCACCCATTATTTACTCTTGCAATCACATCAGTTCTAGAGCCTTCCGCAGCAAATACCTTACCGTGAGATTCTCCCGTCCTATCGGGGTTAGAGGGGGTGGGTGAATGCAAAAAAAATGTTGTGATAATTTAGGACCGTCGAGTTTAAGTGGATACGGTGTGATTGCCGAAGGGCTCGCAGAAGGCACTGTGCGAGGAGGCGGAAGAGAGTATGGAGAGGGGTATAAATAAGTGGTCTGTGTTTCAGCAAAGCTATGTAGAGGCCTGCCAGGAGAACAGCCTTGGCACATCGCCGGAACAATGGGGAATTGTGGCTTGCCACTCTGTGCAGCTGCATTATTATTCTCGACTGTGATTGGGACACTGGGAGTCATCTTTCCAGCACGAAGGCCCACGTATGATCTAAGACGTTTCGGAAGCGGACCATGACCACTGCTGCTATGTGTAGTCATAATGTCAATGGGCCGTAATGTACCTTCACTGAAGCTATCACCAGTCCCATTTGATGTTTTTGAACTTGTGTCTGTTTCAATAGCGGTGTGGGGATTAATACCAATCCCTGCTGGTTTGTTAAAACGTGGTGCATCGAGTGCATCTACACTATTTCCTAGTCGGCCGGTGGCCGAGTGGTCTGCAGGTTTGCTTTGCAACCATTAGGTCACCGGTTCGAATCCACGTAGGGGTGGGCGTTCTCGCGGTATACTCAAACCGCGCGTGACTGGTGGTGGTCGCGCGGCAGCGGAGCGCCGTTACGGCGTACAGCTGACGCATTATTATTATTATTTATTACACTATTTCCTATGTCCACAAGAGTAATGTGATATGGAGGCGTGAGCATCTCAATACCCGCTACGCCGTCACCAACGTTTGCATCGCTTGTGTAGAGAGTGGCGTTGCTAACATTTACTGCAATTTTAGAAGGGGAGATCCAAAGACTGTTGAATGACCTTCTTGGCACTGCAGGAGGCGCGTATGAAAGATGACTCTGCTTCGGCACAGACGAGACATTAGTTGCACTCATGCGTGGCAGTTCATGTTGCAAGGGTGACCTGTCTTCCAATAGAATAAGTATGCTAAATTTCGGAAGATGTCAAAGAATTTTGGCTTTTGCAAAACGCATTTGCGAGACTTTCGCTACGAAAGCTGAACAGAATCGGGCAAGGATAATGTAGATTTTGCCCTCAATCTTTTACAACTAATATCGGTCTCACCGACGTAGTACGCCCTCGAAATAGTATGCCTAATTTAAAATGTTTTGGAAAACTGGTAGCTCGGGTTGATAATTCAGTTGCTCCTTTAGTCGCCGAGCTTGGAAATATGTTTACAAACGTTTCACCGTCATGCGAGACGGCATCATCAGTGCGTCGCGATGTGGAGTGCAATCTCGCTGATTACACTCCACACCGCGACGCACTGATGATGCCGTCTCGCATGACGGTGAAACGTTTGCAAACCAATTTCTAAGCTCGGCGAACAAATGAGCAACTGAAGTATGCCTAATGTTGTCAATCGAGATATTGTCAGCCACGTTGAGGGCGATGGGGTATTTTCCCCTTCTGCATATGTGAGTAATCTCAGAGGGGACTGTATTTGGGAAGTTTAGTGCTCCAGTTTTGCACTTTGGCTCTGTATTAACCGGAGCCTGAATTGTGTATGAAACTGATATAAGGATATCCCCTAATAAGTCAACCAGTTTTAGTTT